TTATCAGATCAAAATCTGTTCCCCCGACAAATTATCGCGTCTGATGAAAATTTGCGAAAACGTGACGGGTTCCAGAGAGAAAATGCGCAATATCAGAAATGAACACACATGCAAGCAACAACAACAGAAAAAAAAGAAAAAAAAAAAAGAAAGGCGAAAGAAAAGGAATTGTCCTTTTCACAACAGCACAAACGCCTCCTTTTTTCGCCCAATCTTCAAGCAACCCCTTTTTCTTTTTCGTTGAGCAGCACGCGCAAGAAAAGGGACCTTGTTCCTCCCCTTTTGTGCGAAAATAAAAAGCAGAGGGGGGGAAGACAAGAGGCACAAAAGAGGGGAACGTGCTGAAAATACGTGTAGTTGACAAGCCTTGCCAATTTTATATTTTCTTTTTCATTTTTTTCATGTTCTACCCCAACAAACCCAGAAGGAGCAGGGATGAAGTGATTCATCAGCAGCACTCTGCGAAAAATCGGGAACAAGAGATTCACTAAACCGGTCGTGTTTTTATTTTTATTTTGCATGAGAGATTTTTCTTATTTTTCCTGGGCTTTTGTAAGGGTTCCCCCACCCCCCTTCTTTTTAAGGACAGGGTCTTTTCTTGCGTGATCTAGAATTCTAGATCAAGTAGGGAGATATTCTTGCTAATCTCACGGCGAAAAACATGATCAAGATTTCCGGTATTTTTGGCGCGTATTTGCGTTTGCACCCGCGAGAGCCAACTGAAACTTCACTGAGGAATTCATTCTGGATTTTATTATTTCATTAGATTGATTCATCAATTTTATTGCCATCTTATATTTTGGGGTGAAACGAAAGTCGCTGTTTCGATTTATTCTCGCAAAAGCCAGCTGTTGAAAGCTCTCATTTCAAAGGATTTCTCGTTGGCGCCAGTGAAAAACATCGTTGGATTTCGATAGATTTTTCAACCATTTTACTGCGCAAAAGATGTGAGTCTTTGTGAGAATTTCCAATGAATCACACAGATACGCGCAATGATTTTAGGATATATTTACACGTTAATTTCTTGGAAGAAGCCGAAAAGGGTTCTCGCTCATTCACGAGGAACTTGATCAACCCGTGCTTATTATTGCTTTAAAAATAAAAAAAGCACACAGAAAGAACCCAGAAGCGGATAAAAATGCAAATGACCCTTTGAAAATGCGTTCATCAGCGTCAAAGAAGCATGAAAAAATCGCGAATTTGTCATTCGAAGCAACTTCAACTATTTTATGTGAACTGATTGTAAATGAAGACATTCCAGTTTCGTAGAAGAAAAGAAAATGGCTCGGTGAATTTCAAAATGTTGGACTTTTTCGGATTTTCGCATACTGCATAAAATAATTTTTTTTTTAACGTCGAACCGCGTGATGAACGAAAATCTCGGAAACACCCTTCCTAATAATTGTATATTTTTCGTTGTCGAACTTTTTCTGGTCTCGGGACAAAACTGTGTGGGATGAAAGAAATCGCGATTGGCCCAACCTTGAAGAAATAATCCTACGTAATTTCTCACGCATCGGGAAGGCGAAAAATACTAATTTGATCCGCCAAGGAGAAGTTGAGACGTGGGAACAAAGTAGAGGGGGGAAATTTGGCAGGGATTCTCCTCGAAGGGCGATAAAAATTCGCACGAAAGAACCCGAATTCGACGAATGGAAATGAATTGTAAAACGTCGCGAATAATACAGTACACTACAGTATTGTGAAAGGATCGTCAAAAAAAAATCAAGAGCTTACCGGCGACTCGGTTTCGAAAAAGAAAAACTAGTTTCTCTTTTATGCAGAAACTAAAATTAATAAAAAAAACTCGATCTGTATTAAACTCGAAAACTAAAATTTAAACCCGTCGCTGTCCTATCTAAAAGAAGGACCTTTAGATCCTGAAACTCTTCACAAGCCATCAGGAATATATCGAATGCCAAAATATCCAATGCACGAAATGCGACGGCAGTTCAGAATATTCGCGATATTTCGACGAAACATTCCCCGAACGCGCGCAAAAAAAAAAAAAAAGAAAAGAAACATAAAGCAAAAAAAAACGTTCAGACATGAATGAATTTCCTCGATCAGCTGCTAATTGTCTGTCACGGACGCACAAGTTTCAGTTTTGCACAAACGTCACGTCCGTATATTCTGCACGAAATTCGGCAGGAAACCTCGGTAATCCCTCTTCACTCTTTTTCCCCTGTAAAAGTGCTCTTCTTTTCCTTACGTGGTTTTTTATTTTTTTATTTTTAGATTAGCACTTTTCAGGCGTTGAGTGAATTTAATCATAATCAACAATATTCGCATTCAAAGCTTGTAATGTGTCCTAGATAGCTTGGGACAGTTGCTTTTTTCCTTGAATCGAATCCATAAAATTGATTTTTTTAGAATCTAGATAAATTGAAGGATGTAGACGCACATTTTAAATTATTTTTATAACACAAAATTAAAATCAAGAGAGAAATATTTCCATTTTTTAAATCAGCATTCTATTGACAAATTCTTTTTTGCTTCCTTTTTTGTACGCTTCTTCAACAAATTCTTCATTGACATCTCAACAGCGTACAATTTAGATATTGTAGATTGAATTAAGCTTTAATGAACTTCAGATTTTTGAGACATTCATTTGAGACGCCACCAACTCCAGAGATTCACGTTGAATGTGAAGCGATTTTCTTCTACATTGAAAACCGATTTCGATCATATTGACACACGGAATGAAGACGATAACGTTTTTAAAAGCTTTGGAATATTAATGAAAAACGGGAAAATCTGAAAATCGCAAGCTAACTTTACAAAAAAAGACTTCTCGAGTTCCACAAAATTTCTCAAACGAAAGAAAAATCCAGCGACCTGAACATTCATTTCTTCAGTATAATTTTTTTTCAATATTCGAAAATGAAAAAATAAATCGAGATTTTTTTTTGGTTGGACGAAATTCTCAATAAAATCTCTAGTTCAAAAATTGTGTTGATAATATAATTTTCCATTTCTCATCGACGCTCAAACGTCTTCACGTCCCAGGAAATGTTCATTTTTTCTTCTTCGTTTTCCAACACCACGTTAGAAATTTCCTTTGAATTCTCGCACAATCTTTTATTTTAATCCATGCCCAATCTTCCACAAAATGCATCGAAAATTAGTATTTGAATGTGCATCATTAGGCTGCCTTATTTCACAGAATTCAGGAGATCGAAAAAGAAAAAACCGAAGAACACGGAATTCTTTAAACACGTCCAATTCTCGAAATCATTTCACGGTCTACGCCATTCAACCTCTCACAAAATCAATCTCCCTCTTCCCCAAATAAGCTAATTTTTCCCCGAAATAAATACACTAATTGCGTAAATAAGATTCAATTCACAAATGAACGGGTCCCAGTTTGAACCTCTTGCAACAATTGAACATGCTAATTCATATTAAGATTCAAAAGAGTGAAAAAAGCATATTCGAACGTCGTCCAACAACACCTGATCTTTCTGGTATTCGAAACGAGGTAAATTATGCAGCAAAAAGAATCAAAAGCAAAAATCTGAAAACTGGAACATTTCAACCGTTTTCTTATTCGCAAATCGTGGTGTTGAAAAATAATTGCCAAGTTAATTTTTTTATAGATTATTAAATTTTTTTCACAGGACCTCGTGAGCTTGAAAATGTCAATTCCTTTCAAATATTGTGCACGTATGGTCTCACCTTCACGCAAAAAAAAATAAAATCGCGCAAATGCACTCACAATTTATTCAAGGGCCTGGAAAATTAATTTGCATCTTAAAATGTATATTGAGTCCCCTGCTCCCTTATCACAAGTGAAAATACCCAACAGAATTGCAATGTAAAGAATTTGGATTTCAGGAGATACTGGGAATCTAAGAATTTGAAGAATTTTCTGCCCTCTCTTATATTGTGAAACAAGTCCTTAATACGTAAAAAAAAAAAAAAGAATTTCCTTTCTGCACGAAAAAATTGAGAGCAGTAAAATTCAGTCTCATAATAAATTCGCAATTTGAAGTCTCCCGGAATTTACGATGGTACGTCAGAATAAAAAAAAATGTGTTCGGAAAGTTGGAAAACATGGCATTTTGAGGCATTTTTCAATGATTTTTCCCGTTCAATGTCAGTTAATTCACAAATTTATTCGAGAAAAATCCCAAGTAATCAGGGCAAACGATTCTGCGATAGGAAAAACAAACACAACACCCAGTTCTTTGACTTTTTGTATAAATGGACTCCATACGCCGAAAATTGAAAAACTCGATTAAAATGCGTCAGGAATACAAAAGATGCAATTTCTTTAATTTTGAAGGGTCGTGCTAAAGGTACATTTTTTCTTTCACTCGTCGCCAACTCAGGCAAATTAAAAAATCGTGGAACCAATTCTAAACTCAATCAATCAATCAATCATTTCAAAATGGCAACGTAGCAAATCCATTTTCCGACCCTCCCATGGGTGAGACAAAAAATTACCAATTCGTATACGAAACTAGTGCAAGGTTTTTTTTTTCCTTACACCGGCAATTCAGATAAATTATGCAATTTTAAAAATATCTTGGAGACGATTCTGGGACCATTACTATCATACAGTATTGTACCACGCGCCCCCAATTTTAGTGACTCTAAATTAAAATACTTAATATTTAGAAAGACTTAAAATTGCACTTAAACATGAATAGATCCTGAATTAAACGAAATTTAAATTATTTCCATCGCAAAAAAAGGCTCGTTTCCTCTTCAAACGCGTTTTCCCTTTAAAATGTGTCCAAAATTCGCCGATTAAAATAGAATATAATTCAAACGTAAAATTGTAAACTTTTCCGAAAATTGTATGCCCAATTATGACGCACACCCCGTTAAAAAAAATTTTTTTGAAGTGCGCGAGCTACTCGAGTAAAATACGGGTATTTCTCTCGTACATTACGTTTGCTCCCGTTCACTCGCCGCAGCATACAGTATATTAAATGGTGCTGCAACACTCACCAAAACATGGAAAAAAGATGTGCATCTCACTCTCACTCTTACTAAACAGCATTGTAAATTTTATAAGACGGGGCAAAAGAGGCGGCATCATTGTTGGACTTGGCCAAGAACGAGTCCAACCCCACACAGGGGAAGAAATTGATGCAAAAGGGTCCCTAGCATCAAAGTCAGCATCATCACGCGGCAAGCGGAGGAGGAGGAAGAAGAAGAAAGAAAAACAAGAAAGAAAGAGCGAAAGAAATAAAGGGGTGAAAAATAGTGAAAAACGAGGCAGTACATCATGGTGGTAATAAGTTAGTTGGTTGGTTGGTTGGTTGGTTGGTTGGTTAGTTAGTTAGTTACCTTGGCATAGAGGTCCAGCATGTACTTGGGCACGCGGACGGGCTTGTTGTTGGCGCGGTGCGGGACGCGGTCGAGGCCCAGGGCAGCCAGGAGGTGGGACTCGACCTGGCGTGCCAGGAGGTCCTTGGGCACCTGTTGGTGGTGCTGGTGGTGCTGTTGGTTCTGGCTCGACGACCCGGCCGGCTTCCACGGCGCCGGTGGCACGTGCACCACCGCCGAGGCCCAGCTCACCACCGTGAGTAGCGTCAGCACTCGCACCACTGTCCATTTCTCGCCACAAAACATCATCCTCATCACCACTCACTCAATCACTCACACACACTCTCTCTTTGTAGCTCGGCTCAGCTCAGCTCAGCTCTCACACACACACTCACTCACTCACACACACGCGTGTGTGTGGTGGTGGACGTCGTCTCTCCTCTCTTCTCTTCTTCTTCTGGAGACTACCAGCAGCACCAACACTACTACTGCAACCACCGGCAACTGATGTATAGGTAGGTAGCTCACACTCACTCGACCTTCTCCTCCTCCGCTCTCGTGGAGAATCTCGAGTTTCTTCTTCTTCTCGTCGATGTTCAACGCTGTCGCTGGTGCTCGTGCAGCAGCGCACAACAACGCGAACAAGAACAACAAGACCACCAGGAAAAATGACAGCAGTAATACGGAAGCCCGTTTTTTCTTCGGCGCGCGACAATCGCTGCTCCTGCTGCTGCGGCGCGCATCTTTCCTCTCCGTGGGCGTGATGCGAATGAGGCGAGTGGAGACCCGAGCGGGGCTTGGATGGATGGATGGATGGAGATCGGCTAAGGCGAGCTGGGCTGGCTGGCTGGCTAGCAGGCAGGCAGGCAGGCAAGCAAGCAGGTTGGGCTGGCTGACTGACTGACTGACTTGACTTGAGGACGACTGACTTGCAGGACTGAAGTTTCAAGCTGCTGGTCGGTTATTTGACTATTATAGAGCTCAACATTGGGCTAGGCTGCAAATACTTGGGCTCTCACTCACTGCACACTCTGTATCATGCTGCCGTGAAATCATCAGCGTCTGCATCATTAAAAGAAAAGGAAGACGACCAAAATCCACTCGCACACACACTTATACTCAAACTCACTCACTTAACTTACTACCTATTGCTTGCGCACTCCCTCGTGGACCACGGGGGCAGACAAACACGCCGCGGCCACACGGCACTCCCTTGCGAGGGACCCCCACATGTGTACCTCCCTCCCACCTCATGAACATCTCTCCAAGGGAGGGCAAGACGCGCGCGAGAACCGTGAAGAGGAAAACCCCAAAGTTTTGAATCTGCAAGATGCCCAAGTGTAGTAAGGGATCTTGGTTACATTTTCACAATACTGTACAGTACAGCAATGTAATTCACATAATTAATAGTACGGTAGTTTTACAGTCTAAATAAACAATGGCAGCGTGAATAAAATCAAGGTGGGTGAATTGGTTCCAAAAGTCAACAAAGAAGGTTACTTAAATAGTGGCTGATGTATGTAAAATAAAAAACAAGAGAAGTTCTCTCTGTGAATTTTTGACAAGGTACTGTGCACTTCTTTGTCATAAAGACATAGTTGCATGAAAAATCGTGATGTGGAGCTTATTTTAATATTTTCAAAAACAAAACAAAATGAATGTCTTTTACTTATGCAAGAACAATAGGTACACAATCCACAATATTCATTTCAATTTCAAGGCAAGTGAAATAAATGTAAACGCCAAAAATACTATGACAGATGCAAAACAATCCTCAAGGCAATCAATAAAATGGAAATTGCTTTGGAGAGCAATGTAATGGAAAATAGAAGCAGGCTGCTCAGGAATTGGAAATAAAAAATAAAAGACAAATAGTAGATGTGAGAGAGCTTTGGAATTATATTTTGTTTGTGCAATGTCCACCCTTTCATTTGGAAACATTATCTCGTTTTGGAATAACAATCAACGAAGTTCCAAAACAAAAATATGCAAATATAATAAATTGGTTTCAATGTCTTTGAAATACAATTTAGCTTTAAGCATTATCGTAGTGTCATCCTCAATACACTGTAGATGCTTATTAAATGTCTGTGTTGATGGTTTTGCTTATGGTGTCCGTCAAGATTTTTTTTAAAAGGAGAATACACAATAAAAACTCAAGTAAGAACAATTCACAAAACAACAACCCTGACAGAAATATCCCGAGAAATTCATATCTGTAGCACCATTTTTATTTACTTGTCTAAACTCACAAAACAAGCAAAGTAATCACACTACTGACCTAATAAGCAAGATAATTCAACTTTTACAGATTTTGTCTCACCTCCAGTTATTCGAAAGAGATTCAATTCCACCCTTGTGTGAATTTCATGAATAAGGAAGACCTTCTGTAAACTTTTCAGCGGACGGCAATTCAAGAACAGTACAGTATTGTACTGTACTGTAATCAACACACGTGAAACCTCCGCTCGGGGGAATGTTCACCCAGCACTTTGGTGAGAGCCGCGCATTAAACTCCCAGTGCCTGACCACTGCCTCTTATTCGCCCCCCACCCACCCACGCCTCCCCTCGTCTTCCTTCCCCTGTTCACTTGTGCTTCGCTCTTGGAATCTCTCTGATGCTCCCGCGGTGCTGGTTTTCTTGGGCTCAGCAATAGCTGTTCCTTGTACAGTATGAGAATAAAAAAGCATACAACGCAGAGAAAATACAGTATACTGTACACATGCACCTGATGATGACGGACAGCAGCAATTCGTAGAGATGCAAGAAGAAACACGCCAATTGACTGTGTATACTAGTGCACTGTAAAAGAATACTAAGCCTAAGAATGCTAAGATACAGTCAACTCTCTCGCCCTGTAAGTCTTGTGCGCGCGGGACAATCCGCTCTGTGCGTGTGTCTGTGTATGTGTGTCCACTTGTTTCACTGCTGCACACATGGCGGCGCTCGTCCGTCTGCCTGTCCGTCAGTCAGTCCGTCCTGAGAAGAAGGAGGAGGGGGTGGGACTGGGTCTCTAAAGCAGCGCCACAGTGTCTGGCCCGGCCGAATTCCCCAGTAAATGTTGCCGGCATATATAATCGCGGCCTCTCTCTCTCTCTCTCTCCTAATCGCCCCCGTCGGCGGGGTACTCGTCTAATTCCCTGAAGAAGGGAAAAGAGAACCCTATTTAGCCAGGAATGGAATGTGTTCTTTTCGCTGACTTCAGCGGGGGGTCGAAAGACGGAGAGAGAAGCATGAGAGAAAAAGAAAACAAATTTCTGGAGAGATATTATTTGAGGCAAGTGCTGCGCGCGCGCGGCGCGACAACAAATCCTCTGCTGCCCCAGACTCTCTGGCGGCTAATGACTGACTTCACCTTTTTCTACTATTGCTGCATTGTACTGCTGTACTGTATACAGTATATATATTAGGCTCACTCTGTGTACGCGTCTCTCTCTCTCTCTCTCTCTCTCTCTCTCTCTCTCTCGCTCTCTCTCTCTCTCTCTCTCTCTCTCTCTCTCTCTCTCTCTCTCTCTCTCTCTCTCTCTCTCTCTCTCTCTCTCTCTCTCTCTCTCTCTATTGTATCATGTTGACAGCAGTACGTTACAGTACTGTTTACGCATGGAAACCCCAATATTCCCCAACATTTGACCCTTTTTCTTCCCAGACACTTTGAACCAGATCAAACATGCAAATCTGTTTAGCACTGTATATGTAATGTATATTAGCTCAAGGGATATCAATCTAGAAAGCAATATGATGATACAGTTCAACCTTGGTAACCCAAGACTTCCCATTTGTGTTTATTTTACCAAGTTCCTGTCAGAATTGCCTAAGAAAAAAATGCATTAAAATCTTTTCATATAACTTGAATATGACTAATTGCAAGGCCTCTTCAAACCTTCATATAACTTGAATTTTCTGGAGGCCTTTTTGGCAATTTTTTTATTGACACAGGAAAGAGAAAAGCAATCAAAATGTTAATTTGATTTGTTTTGAGAGGTATAGTGAAAAAATAAGTGAGCTACTAAACCCTTGCTTATATGAGTCCAGCATCCTTTCAAGGCATAGATCCCTAGAATATCACCAATTGCAATTTTCTGAAACTCTTCCTCCTTTCCCCAAAAACAAATGCTTGTTTTACTCACTTGTTTTACTTTTTCAATGTGAAATGCGTCGTTATATGAACTTGTCCAGCACCGCTTTAAACAAAGTTCAACAAGAACCTGCGGCCCTCGAGGGTTGCCATCGAATTTCAGAGCGGCAAAAGAACGGTTCAGCATATATACAAGTACAGGTGTACAATATATATATATATACCGCATGTTAATATTTCTGTGTGTGTTTTGGGGTCTCCAGTTTGTCCACGGTGTTTGTTTTTACCCGCCGAGAACCGAAGAATAAGCAAAGCGGAAAAACAAATCGGGGGCATTCTTTTCTCTCTCTTTCTCCGCTGTCCACGCAAGAACTTATACTGGGGGCCTGATTTACAGTATAGAAAAAATAACACATACGTATGGAGACACAGGCACCCTTACGGGGGGAGAACCTTCCTCTAGCTCTGGCTGATACACTTACAAGGGATGGTCCATAAGTTTTGAGAGACCAAGTAGATTAAATACTGGTCGCTTCCCTTCTTTAGCATTAATGCTTTAAAAAAATGAATATGCTGTTACCTTTCCATTCATATACAGTATGCATCAGACTTGTGTTCAGTATTATGGCTTATGCAATCGGGAGTTAGTCTGTAAATCTGTAATCCAAAAATAAAATTGTGAACTGAGCAGTGGAAAGATACTGTATACGGAATAGCAAATATACAGTACTTTCCACTGCAGAAAAGCTTTTTCTTGATTTTGTTGAGAGTGATGAATACTAATTTTCCTGTTCCTTAGTGGCTTTCACTGTTCTCTTATTAGTTTCACACAGTAAAACAACTGTAAGAACCCATTTAATTATTCTGAAAAATATGCATCCAAAGACATTTTCATGGACATAACAAATTTATGAAAAGTAACAATAAAGTCTGTTATGCTGATCCACAATTTTGGAAAGACAATGGCAGTTGAAATTATCTGATGAAAAAATACAATTTGGCTTTTCTTTTAATAGCACTTCAGACATTTTCACCTGCTGAAATATTTATGTTAAATTTTCAATCTGGGAAATTTTTCTTGAAGCCCAGCTTTCTATTTTTATAAGACATTCCCCTATACTGCATATCAGCATCATTGGTTCTTAGCCTGATTTTTGCAGTATGAGTTTTGTTTTGAGGACAGTATGGCAGGTATTAAGAAAAATTCTGCTGGTCATCAAAAATTGTGTGGAACATTGCTGGTCCAAATGAAAATTTTCTGGAAATATGGCAGTCTGCATAAGATTTTATTAAAATTTGCCAGTCTGCAAGCCAAAAAGGTTGGGGAACACTGATATTGAGACAAAGTTAGATGTAAGCAGAATGACAAATTCATGTGACAAACGCTTGTTGCAGATTCTGAAGCATGAAGGAACAACAATGCCATATTAAAAAATGAAGAAAACCATCCTCAACAACTTCCAGAAAATTATAAAAAACCAGTCATCCACAGGAGAAATGCAATCAAAGCCACATTTGGTGGCTGCGCAAGTCTCTTGTGCAAATAATATACTGCCCACACCATTCTTCTATTGGGACATTACTGAAATATCTGCCGATTCCCCCAGTTATAATTTGACTTAATATTCAGCATGTAGGAAATTGGAGTTTAATATTTTTAATTCAATTCAAATTAAAAATATGCATTCCTTGTCTGTGGTTCATCTTGCCCTCTTATTGTAAATTTTTGTCTGACACTTTCTTGATAAAGTACCATATTGATTCTGAAAGGACATT